CTTTTTCCTTGAAATATTTGAATATAACTTTGTATACTATAGCATCAGACATATCAAAACAGTGTGAAACCATTCAAGTGAATGAAAGTATTACAGGGTATTTAGAACCAGCTAACAGAAAATGAACAATGGTTTCTATATTATCTCTTTGTCTATAAAAATTTTTGTTTATACTATCACATATAATAAAATCCAGTAAGATACAACATGATAAAACCAATGGAGACAGAAGAGCAAGTTTGGTGGGACATCAAAACAAGATGATATTAAATCAGCATTAGTTATTATGATGTCTTATTTTCAAAATAGCTGTTCATTTCATCACAGGCAATAATATCAAGCAGCCCAGAATAAAGCCATTCCAGTTAATGAGTGAAAGTTTTATAAGGCTTCAAGGCCACACAATGAGGAATTATGATTACCACATACTTTTATATATTTGAATCATTTCTTATATTATTCACACATGGGAGATTGATTTATTTCACTTATGAGTATGGTCTCAAGCTGCGCCCATTTATTGATAAATATCTCAATGTGATCCCTCTTTATAGATGAGTAGTACTCCTTATATAGAAGTGTTGTGGAGTACCACAACTTTTTTATCGATCCCTCAGTTGATGGGCACTTGGGTTGTTTCCAAATCTGGCGATTACAAATTATGCTGCTATAAACATAGGTGCACATATATCACTGTGGTATGATGCTTTCAGTTCTTCTGGGAATATGCCTAGAAGTGGAATAGCTGGAACAATTGGGACTTCCAATCCCAGCTTTTTGAGAAATCTCTAGACTGACCTCCACAAAGGTTGTACCAGTCTACACTCTCACCAAAATACACAGAGCATCTTGATGGACCCTATCTCCTGATCTATTCTGCCTGTGTTTCTTTTCATTAGTGTATCAATGCTATCTATTTTAGAGATTACAGCCAACCTTCTCTGCCTCATTTCTGCTATGCTGTTTTTCTGCCATTGGTTCTCTACTTTTCCTCTTCATTCCACTATCTGCCCCATCATTGAGAACAAATTTAAATAAATGCAAAAGGGTTGAAATTATCCCTTGCATGCTATCGGACCATAGCACTATGAAATTAGAAATTAATGATAAAAGATACTGCAAAAATCCCACAAACACATGGAAACTGAATAACACACTCTTGAGTAATCAGTGGGTCACAGAGGAAATTAAAGGAGAAATTATACAATTTCTCCTGCAAACAAATTTCTCCTGCAAACAAATGAAAACACAAATACAACTTACTGGAATCTGTGGGATGCAATGAAAGCTGTCCTCAGAGGAAAGTTTATTGCACTGAGTTCCCACATCAGAAAAACAGAACAAATACAAATAAATAACCTTATGTTACACCTCAAACATCTAGAAAAAGAACAGCGAGTCAAGCCCAAAGCCAAAAGAGAAGACATTATTAAAATCAGCAGAAATCAATGCAATAGAGACTAAAAAAGCAATCCAAAAAAAAATCAATGAATCAAAGAGTTGGTTCTTTGAAAGAATAAATAAAATCGATAAGCCCCTAGCCAACCTTATTAAAAAAAAAGGGAAGAAAAAGCTCAAATTCATGCAATAAGGAATGAAAGAGGCGAAATTACTACAGACACTATAGAAATACAAAAGATCGTCAACACTTATTTCAAAAACCTCTACTCTTAAAGGTTTGATAACACAGAGGAAATAGAAAGATTCCTAGAAGCATACAAAGTCCCAAAGCTAGGTCATGAAGATGTAAAACTACTGAGTAACCCAATTTATATTAATGAAATTGAAAACGTAATTAAATCTTTACCTACAAAGAAGAGCCCAGGCCCAGACGGATTCACTGCAGAATTCTACAAGAAATACAAAGAAGACCTAATGCCAACACTCCTCAAACTCTTCAATGAAATTGAAAGGGAAGCAATCCTTCCTAAATCGTTCCTAGAAGCAAATATTACTCTAGTACCAAAACCAGAGAAGGACCCAACTGAAAAAGAAAACTACAGACCAATCTCCCTCATGAACACAGAGGCAAAAATCCTTAATAAAATATTGACAAATAGGATGCAGCAAATCATCAAGAAGATCATAAACCATGACCAAGTGGGATGCATCCCAGGCATGCAGGGATTGTCCAATATATGTAAGTCAATAAATGTAATACACCATATTAATAGAGTCAAAAGTAAGAATCACATCATTTCTGTAGATGCAGAAAAAGCTTTTGATAAGGTCCAACATTCATTTATGATAAGAACCTTGCAGAAAATTGGAATAGATGATCTTTACCTCAATATAATTAAGGGCATCTATGACAAACCAACAGGCAATATCATATTAAATGGCCAGAAATTGAAGGCCTTTACTTTAAAATCAGGCACAAGACAAGGATGTCCCTTATCACCGCTCCTATTTAATATAGTACTGGAAATATTGGCCAGAGCAATTAGACAAGAGAGAAATAAAAGGCGTTAAGATAGGAAAAGAAGTTAAATTATCATTATTTGCAGATGATATGATACTCTATATAGAAGATCCCCAAAACTCCATTGAAAGACTCCTAGATATAATAAATAAATTCAGTAATGTAGCTGGATACAGAATCAATACTCAAAAATGAATAGCATTCCTATACACTAACAACAAAATCACAGACAGAGAAATAAGGGAGGCCACACCCTTCACACTAGCAACCAAAAAATGAGATACTTATGAATTACTCTCACAAAAGAAGTGAAAGACCTATACAGGGAAAATTATAATACACTGAAAGATGAAATTGAAGACGATGTCAGAAAATGGAAAGACATCCCTTGCTCATGGATAGGAAGAATAAATATTGTGAAAATGGCCATTCTCCCAAAACTGTTATACAGATTCAATGCAATCCCGATAAAAATACCATCAACATACTTCATAAATCTAGAGAATTCCCTCCTAAAATTGATCTGAAGCGAGAAGAGACCTAGAATAGCAAGGACAGTTCTAAGGAGCAAAAGCAAGGCAGGAGGTATCACAATCCCTGACTTGAAGTTATACTACAAAGCAACTAGTAAAATCAACATGGTACTGGAACCAAAACAGAGCCAAAGATCAGTAGAATAGATTAGAAGATACAACCACAACTACAAACACTCAACCACCTTATCTTTGATAAAGGGGCCAAACATGTTGACTGGAAGGACAACAGCCTCTTTATTTAATAAATGGTATTGGAAAAACTGGCTCTCCATATGTCAAAAACTAAAACTAGACCCATGCCTATCACCATGCACTAAAATAAAATCTAAATGGATCAAAGATCTAAATATTAAAACAGAAGCACTGAATCTATTGGAAGACAAATTGGGTAAAAACCTTGAAGACATAGGAGTAGGTAGAGAATTCACAAACAGGACTCAAACCGCACGGGAAATACTTCCCAGAGTCAATAATTGGGATTGCCTCTTATTAAAAAGTTTCTGCACGTCAAAAGAAATCTCCAGCATAGTGAAAAGAAAACCCACAAACTGGGAAAAAAATCTTAGTGAACTGCCCCTCAGGCAAAGGACTTCTGTCTAAAACATATAAAGAATTAGAAAGAATCAGACCCCCAAAATTCAAAGATCCAATCAAAAAATGGGCATCTGAGATGAATGAACAATTTTAAGATGAAGAAATGCAAATGGCAAATAAATAGATGAAAAAATGTTCACCATCACTGGTCATTAGAGAAACGCAGATTAAAACAACACTGATGTTTCATCTCACTCCTGAAAGAATGGCCAAGATCAAGAAAACCACCAACAACAAATGCTGGAGAGGCTGTGGGGAAAAAGGAACTCTCCTGCACTCTTGGTGGGAGTGTAGACTAGTACAACCATTGTGGAGGTCAGTCTGGAGATTTCTCAGAAATCTGGGACTGGAAGCCTCATTTGACTCAGCTATTCCACTTCTAGGCATATTCCCAGAAGAACTGAAGGCATCATACCACAGTGATATATGTCAACCCATGTTTATAGCTGCACAATTTGTAATAGCCAGATCTTGGAAATAACCTAAGTGTCCATCAACTGAGGAATGGATAAAAAAATTGTGGTGTTTTTATGCAATGGAGTACTACTCAGCTATAAAGAATGATCACATTGAGATATTTATAAATAAATGGACGCAGCTTGAGACCATACTCATAAATGAAATAAATCAAACTCGCATGTATTAATACCAAATAGTTTCCCTAGTATAAGAAATGATAAGAATACATAAAAGTATGTGGTAATTATGATATTGGTTTGAAGCCATATGATATTTTCATTCATTAATTGCAAAGGTTTTAACCTGGGTTGTTCAATTTTAGTATCTTTTTAAAAATAGCAAGAGGCACAATGGTAACCATTTTTGATCACCTGATATTCTATTTTTGCATCATGTACTATGCCCATCCTCTTGTTCTAACCGACTCTGTTTTGTTTAGTTATGTTAGGTTTCATTCTCTTCAAAAAAAGTAATAAGAACTGTGGGAGTAAAAAAACCCAAAAAGTGCAATTGTTATTGTAAAAAAGAGAGGAAAGGAAGGTGGTCTAAGGGATATAACTGCATGTATGTTTGAGGTGTAGAATGGAAAACCATATTACTAAGCTTTTGTTGGATCATTGAATGGAACTGTCTGCAATCTCACTGTATGAATGTGCACTTTATGTGCTTTAATTTTATAATTTGGACAACTGTTTCTAAGATGACAATGTATAACCTATTAACTAGTGATTTCTTACTGTATATTTTTTTCTAGAAATTCTGTATTATTTGTACCCTGTTACTGCTTTGTTTTTTTTTTTTTTGTTTGTTTGTTTCCTTTCTTTTTTCTCTTTAAATAAAAAAAAAACATTATAGCTGGTTTGTAAAGTGTACTGGTTTTAGGACATGTTTTTTACAATATTCTATTAGATAACATGTAAGTCAACCTTTGTCTTGTTTCTACTGACTAGTGTGTGCTAAAAGTGATGTCTTGTGGCTTCCCAAACTAGGCGAAGAATGCTGTCTCACACTGTTGACCAGATGCGGAGGAAGACACTTAGAGCACCTGCCTGTCTCGGATATGGTTCCAGCCCATGGCCACCACACTCAGACCCATCAGTGAACCAGCCCTCGATATTCCAGATCTGCAGCCTCCAGCTTGCACCAATGAGCTTAGGGGAGCAGAGACATGTTGTCCTCACCAAGCTGCTCTCAAGCCCTAGCGTTGGGCAGAAGATAAATACTGTCTTAAACTACTAAATTGGGGGTAATTTACTACAATCCAGCATAAGTTTCATGTACAAGGAGGGGAAAAAAAGAAGTTTTTAAAAACAGACAAGAAGAGGGCTGGGGATTTAGCTCAGCGGCATAAGTGCCTGCCTTGCAAGCAGGCAGTCATGAGTTCAATTCCCGGTACCGATAAAAAGGAAAAGAAAAAGAAAAAAAAAAAAAAAAAACAGACAAGAAGAAAAAAAATTAATCAGAAATTAGCCCCCTAGTAGGTTCTCACAAATAATGAGGCTCATTTATCAATAACAGTGCTAATATGATCAGCTTGAATAGAAGATAAATGTTGAGATGACTGAGGAAGAAGGCTTTCTAAAGTTCCTTTCAGTTGTAGGTTATTACTAGGAGGAAAACTGGTTTCTTTGGACTTTCTGATCAGTTAGGAGACATGAAAGAATGGAAAGCACATGAAAAATAATAGTTGAAAAGCAACAAAATTATTTGGTTTAATACTCAAAATCAGATATAAAGATTTCAACTACTGGGTTCTAAAACAGGTACTTCTGTATGCTTAGTAATTTGGTATTAAAACTTTATTTTCCTTTCTTTAATGAGGAAAAAGGAACACTGTGGAGCAATTTTTAATCTCAGAAGTACAACAAATGTAGTGTCCTTAGAAAGGGAAGAAAAGAAATACAGCTTTTCTTTAACCTGTTCAAGTGTGTTCACATGCAGAAGACCATATAACAACATTTCCCCATGGGATACAAATAGGCTTTGGAATTTTAAATTCATATCACTACTTTGACTACTATCTGTCTTTGTCAAACTGCCTGAACACTGCTTGATTTTTATGAACTATACTCTTGAAAAATTATTCTTGGGCTGAACTGTTTAATCCATGAGCCCTGTAATGACTGGTAATGGTTGCAGTGGCTGATACACTGTTTTAACTTGAGAAATTTAGACATTTAAGGAAGTGACTCAACAGAAGCTCCATGTCCTCACTGTGTAAACATGCTCATCCTGTACAAGAGGGCACGGAGATGGTGTGAATGCTATACCCACTCTCGGGAGTGGTAGTCTGATTACAATACAAGGGAGGGAAAGAGGCTTACTCTTTATTCTTTGGCTCAATGAAGCTCTTGCTGTCTCCTGTCAAGTGGAACTCTTGCCCCTTTGCCATGTCACTCTGTCCTTGAGCCAGATGATTATGGACTGAACCCTCCACAAACTCTGAGATAAATGAATCTTTCCTCCCTGAATTATTAGGGTTGAGTATTTTGTCTCAGAAATAAGAGAAAAGTAAACAACATGTTTATTGAAGGATAAAGCAAGGTTAGGCATCTCTGCTTATGGGAAAGGAGATATGTGTATGCATGAAACTGTGGTTTCTGGCATGTAGAATCTGTGCCCCCAAAAAATCAGCCCCAGTGTGGTACACATGAACCAATAGCAGGGCAAATGAGGATGGGACTGTGAACTGTAAGGTGACAGTTGGCTCAATTTCTAAAGAAAAAGGCTATCCCCTTCTAGCTTCATTTCCCCCCTCCTAGTTGTTAACAATCTAGAGATAACTGTGAATGACAAAGAGTTAATGAAACATGCAGTGAATAGCATTCTGAGTTAGCAGATGCTCTGCCAAGATGGAGGAATGGGAGATACGAAGGATGCCCTGGATGGAAGATGAAAAGTTTGCATGGAGAAAAGGACAGCAATGGGCTCTGCTTTGTCAGCCTGACTTCCCTTCATGTCATGGAGTCAGCAAGACATGAACTGGCCAGTGTCCTACAGAAAGAAAAATATCTCCATAGGAGTAAAGACAAAGTAGTCCTACCACAAGAACTGACACTTACAGGGTCCAACAGGACTAGAAAGTGAAGTGGTAAGCCACGGAGTGACAGAAAATATCTGACAATCGTGTATCTGATAAAGGATTTATATTTTGGATATATAAAGGACTCAAAAAGCAGAAAAGATAACCCAAAGCTGAGCATGGTGGCATACACCTGGAATCCCTCCAAAGGCTGAGGCCAGATGTTTTTCAGGACTTCAAGGAAAGCCTGAGCTACACAGTAAGACCCTGTCTCAAAAAAAAGGAAAAGGGAAAAGGTAACTCAAACTGAAAATGCAGAAATAACTGAAGTATACATTTGTCCAATGAAGATACACAAATGTCAATCGGCTTGTGAAAACACATATGCCCAACACCACGCCCTTACTCACCAATAGGGAAGTTGCATTATAAAAGTAAAATGCAAATGCAAGGGAAAGTCACAATCAGATTTCACTTCATTTGCATGGAATCTTTCAACCAAAAAGAATAAAAACTCTTGGCAAGGATACAGAGATGCTGTAACTCTCATACAATGCTGGAAGAAGGTGAAATGGTGCAATAAGTTTGGAAAATGGACCGGCACTGCTAGTTTCTCCAAAGGTTAAGCACAGAGAGTTACCACATGACTCCACACAGAAGCCAAGAGAAATGAAAGCAGGCACACACAAAATGCTGTACATGTATTTGCACAGCAGTATGAATAACTGTTGAAATGGAAACTACTGCAAGTCCATCAACTGCTTGATGAATTAAAAATACACACAAGAGGACATTACTTAGAAGAGAAAATAAAGTACAGATACCTACAAAATGAATGAATCTTGAGAACCTGCTAAGTGAAAGAAGGCAGTCCCAAAAGAAGCCAGGACACATATTGAGTATTTTGATACAAAATGTCCAGAAGAACACAATCTACAAAGTATATCACTGGTTCTTTAACAGTGAGCCAGGAAAGAGGTAGGCAATGGTTGAAAGGTCTGAATTTTCTTTTTAGAATGAAAGAATTTCCTGAAATTGGGGTGATGACTCTGAATATACTGAATGCAACCAAATTGCACATTTTAAATGACTGAATTTCAACCTACGTAAACTATTTTAATAAAGATGCAACCAACATCCCAAAATTCATTTCATACACATGATTTGAGGTTATGTGATGGTCTGTATGTTGGCTTTGTATCATTGGCCAGGGCTTAAAACAACAAGATACCCTTTGAATTGAAAAGGAGTGATTATATCAAATAAAAGTCAAAAAATATCCTTCCCTTCACTGATTAAAATGCAATGATGTATAGTTCCCCAAACTAAGTAGTTATTGTTCCCAAAACTACTAAGAAATTACCTTGTAGATTAGCCTGGTATTTGGAATATTCACTTCAAGTGCACTGGAATTTGTATCTCCATGGAAACAAAGGTCTCCACTTCTGTGCTCATCTAACTTTGTTTCTTTTCTTTTAACAAGTTTCTTATATCTGCAAGAATGTACAGAGTGAAATTTGAAGTTTTACCTCTTGAAACAGATATTATATTCTAACATGAAAATAAGTTTAGAAATTACTATTCTCTTTCATTTGTTTCAATCTAACAGTATTTGAAAGCATTGACAGAAATATAATCTTAGATAAATAATATGCAGTAAAAGTTTATGCTGTATATGTGACAGTAAAGAGCTAATACTGTAACCATGCACAAGATTCATATAATTACTATCCTCTTTGGTATGTTAACATAATACACTAACTTATTCATCTTAGCTAAAGCCCAGAGATCAGAAACCAAAATGAAGAAAAATATACTTACATGTATTTGAATGTTAAAGATTTTAAAAACATAATTAGGTATCTGTTAACCATGGTGAACAAGAAAAGAAAGAGCACACAAAACTCTGAAGGTGGGCTGGAGGTGCAGCTCAGTGGTAGAGTATGTGTCCAGCATGTGCAAATATATAGGTTCAGTCTCAAACAAAGAACAAAAGGAAAGCAAAGCAAAGAGAAGAAAAGAAAATATTGAGATTATTGGAAACAGAAAAAGACAAGAAACATCATCTTTGAAATCTGAGTTGAAGAGGAAAAGAAGCAGTTTAGGAGAAAGGAAATCAACAGAGGAATAATAGGTAGTCTGAAAGTGTGTTTTAGGAACAAATTTCAGTCTTTGGTACAACCATGCTGACAAAATGCAGGAGGTACAAAACTGGAAAGACAGACAGTTAAGGAGATGCAAATATTGGCTTGAATCATAACAGCCTCAAGCTCTCCATTAACCAATGGTAACCAGCCATAATGGGGGCTTCAAGACACTGGAAAACACTTTTTATTCATTTTTAAACCATTTTATTCTTTTTTCTGGTAGAATCATTTGCATCTGCAAGGCATACATATTTTTGTGTGCAGGAGACTTTACAATCACCCCCTTCTATCCTGCAGGTTCTGTTTTCAGGAATTCAGTCAACAGTAGACTGAAAATACTCAGGAAAAGAACTGCATCTGTACTCAACACATACTAATTTTTTTGTCATTACTCCTTGAATGACACAGCAAGGACTCACATAACATTTACCTTCTATTAAGTGTTAATAATCTATCAATGACTTAAAACATAGGAGGATTCAGTAGAGTATATGCAAATGCTATGCAATTATGTAAAAGAGACATGAGTATCCAAGGAGATTGATATCTAAAGAGGTCCTGGGACCAATACTGGGGGGTGATTGTATAGTATTTACACACACACACAGACACACAAACACACACATATGTATATTTGTATAATATATAATCTTGAATGAAGGCACACACACGATAGGTGGACAGAAGCTTAGTAACACATATACTGCATGCACACATGGGATTACTCATGGAAGAGAAATGTAGTTGTTGACAGATTTTATAGCTAAAAGAGAAAGAGGTACACAGAAAATATGAGACAAATGAAGATTAATGTTAGTGTTATTAAAGAATGACATAGGCTGTTAAACACAAAAATATATTTTAATGCTAGCTGGAAGGATATTACCAAAAGAAGGTAAGAGAGAAAAAAACCCTCAAATAAAAATTCAAGTAGATAAAAAGAGTGAACTTCATATTATTTCCAAGCACTCTCATGTGTTTGAAACCACTAGAGTAAATAACATATGGCATTCACAAAACAGATTATGCTGTGGGTCACTAAGGTAAAATTTAAAATATACTAATTTGTGTATTGATTAAACTGCAAATAATAAATTCACAATTAGTTTAGTAAAGTTAGTGAAACCATTCATGACTGGTTGGTAAGGTTTGACATATGAAAATCTTACCCTGCTAGCTCTGATTCCAGCTCATGAATTTTCTTCTTGACTTGACCCGAAGCACATTCCAGCTCATGAATTTTCTTCTTGACTTGACGCGAAGCACATTCCAGCTCATGAATTTTCTTCTTGACTTGACCCGAAGCACATTCCAGCTCACGAATTTTCTTCTTGACTCGAAGCACATTCCAGCTCACGAATTTTCTTGACTTGACCCGAAGCACATTCCAGCTCACGAATTTTCTTCTTGACTTGACCCGAAGCACATTCCAGCTCACGAATTTTCTTCTTGACTTGACCCGAAGCACATTCCAGCTCACGAATTTTCTTCTTGACTTGACCCGAAGCACATTCCAGCTTACGAATTTTCTTCTTGACTTGACCCGAAGCACATTCCAGCTCACGAATTTTCTTCTTGACTTGACCCGAAACACATTCCAGCTCACGAATTTTCTTCTTGACTTGACCCGAAGCACATTCCAGCTCACGAATTTTCTTCTTGACTTGACCCGAAGCACATTCCAGCTCACGAATTTTCTTCTTGACTTGACCCGAAGCACATTCCAGCTCACGAATTTTCTTCTTGACTTGACCCGAAGCACATTCCAGCTCACGAATTTTCTTCTTGTCTTGACCCGAAGCACATTCCAGCTCATGAATTTTCTCCTTGACTTGACCCGAAGCACATTCCAGCTCATGAATTTTCTTCTTGACTTGACCCGAAGCACATTCCAGCTCATGAATTTTCTTCTTGACTTGACCCGAAGCACATTCCAGCTCATGAATTTTCTTCTTGACTTGACCCGAAGCACATTCCAGCTCATGAATTTTCTGCTTGTCTTGACCCGAAGCACATTCCAGCTCATGAATTTTCTGCTTGTCTTGACCCGAAGCACATTCCAGCTCATGAATTTTCTTCTTGACTGGACCCGAAGCACATTCCAGCTCATGAATTTTCTTCTTGACTTGACCCGAAGCACATTTCAGCTCATGAATTTTCTTCTTGACTTGACCCGAAGCACATTCCAGCTCATGAATTTTCTTCTTGACTTGACCCGAAGCACATTCCAGCTCATGAATTTTCTTCTTGTCTTGACCCGAAGCACATTCCAGCTCCTGAAATTTCTTCTTCTCTTGACCCGAAGCACATTCCAGCTCATGAATTTTCTTCTTGTCTTGACCCGAAGCACATTCCAGCTCATGAATTTTCTTCTTGACTGGACCGGAAGCACATTCCAGCTCATGAATTTTCTTCTTGACTTGACCCGAAGCACATTCCAGCTCATGAATTTTCTTCTTGACTTGAACCAAAGCACATTGCAGCTCATGAATTTTCTTCTTGTCTTGATGCGAAGTACATTCCAGCTCATGAATTTTCTTCTTGACTTGACCCGAAGCACATTCCAGCTCATGAATTTTCTTCTTGACTTGACCCGAAGCACATTCCAGCTCATGAATTTTCTTCTTGTGTTGACCCGAAGCACATTCCAGCTCATGAATTTTCTTCTTGACTTGACCCAAAGCACATTCCAGCTCATGAATTTTCTTCTTGTCTTCACCCGAAGCACATTCCAGCTCATGAATTTTCTTCTTGACTTGACCCGAAGCACATTCCAGCTCACGAATTTTCTTCTTGACTCCAAGCACATTCCAGCTCACGAATTTTCTTGACTTGACCCGAAGCACATTCCAGCTCACGAATTTTCTTCTTGACTTGACCCGAAGCACATTCCAGCTAACGAATTTTCTTCTTGACTTGACCCGAAGCACATTCCAGCTCACGAATTTTCTTCTTGACTTGACCCGAAGCACATTCCAGCTTACGAATTTTCTTCTTGACTTGACCCGAAGCACATTCCAGCTAACGAATTTTCTTCTTGACTTGACCCGAAGCACATTCCAGCTCATGAATTTTCTTCTTGACTTGACCCGAAGCACATTCCAGCTCATGAATTTTCTTCTTGTCTTGACCCGAAGCACATTCCAGCTCATGAATTTTCTTCTTGTCTTGACCCGAAGCACATTCCAGCTCATGAATTTTCTCCTTGACTTGACCCGAAGCACATTCCAGCTCATGAATTTTCTCCTTGACTTGACCCGAAGCACATTCCAGCTCATGAATTTTCTTCTTGACTTGACCCGAAGCACATTCCAGCTCATGAATTTTCTTCTTGACTTGACCCGAAGCACATTCCAGCTCATGAATTTTCTTCTTGACTTGACCCGAAGCACATTCCAGCTCATGAATTTTCTTCTTGACTTGACCCGAAGCACATTCCAGCTCATGAATTTTCTTCTTGACTTGACCCAAAGCACATTCCAGCTCATGAATTTTCTTCTTGATTTGACCCGAAGCACATTCCAGCTCATGAATTTTCTTCTTGACTTGACCCGAAGCACATTACAGCTCATGAATTTTCTTCTTGTCTTGACCCGAAGCACATTACAGCTCATGAATTTTCTTCTTGACTGGACCCGAAGCACATTCCAGCTCATGAATTTTCTTCTTGACTTGACCCGAAGCACATTCCAGCTAACGAATTTTCTTCTTGACTTGACCCGAAGCACATTCCAGCTCACGAATTTTCTTCTTGTCTTGACCCGAAGCACATTCCAGCTCATGAATTTTCTTCTTGACTTGACCCGAAGCACATTCCAGCTCATGAATTTTCTTCTTGACTTGACCCGAAGCACATTCCAGCTCATGAATTTTCTTCTTGACTTGACCCGAAGCACATTCCAGCTCATGAATTTTCTTCGACTTGACCCGAAGCACATTCCAGCTCATGAATTTTCTTCTTGACTTGACCCAAAGCACATTCCAGCTCATGAATTTTC